CGTTACCCAAATGACGAGAATTAGTGATACAACAAATTATCGGTTTGTAGTCAATTTTGGTTTTACATATCTAATTCTTTTGTCCTTGATGTCCAGGTTGAACACGAGACATTGAATGTGTCATTTTCTTATGTTCAATCTCTAGTTTCTTGATTCCTTAACATACTAATAAAAATAGATAATGATATCTCATATCAATTATCTAAGCATGCATGCATTTCTTTAGTATATATTTATCAAGGGGCCCAGAGACATCACTCCCGTCATAAAGGAGGGACAAATTCTATCTCGATACATGCTAATTCTATCATGTGATATGCAACATACCCAACTATCATTATGTCACCCAGTTACAGAATGATTAGATAAATGTCAAAATACATTACTCATACATAACAAACTCCATGTTCTCAAGTCAAAGAATTACATGTACATTGACCATATGAGAAACACTTATGACACTCACATGACATCTAATGAAGTGTTCTCATACGAGTCACGTCCGATACACAAAGTCTCCATTTTGTACCCATATGCAGATTCGATATCTCTATATGAATCCATACATATGTTAGTCATTATCATATTACTTCAACCTTAAACCCGAAATAATATTTAACTAGGGACATTTAGAATACATTATTCTAAGGTTATTTATTATGAATAATTAAAACACAATATAATATATACATAATAAAATGGGCAATACCTTTATATTTATCAATTTCATGAAACAAACTCAAAGTTACACTTATCATATGATTGGTTTTTGGGCATTCACTAACAATGTTATCCGTGGCTTCGCCCGTATGCAAAATCCAAACTTCACCCTCGCCTAGAAAAATGCGTATTCTTAGGCTACTCATCATCTAAATCGGCCTACAAATGCTATGATTACACAAACCAACAACTATACCACTCCCGACACGTAGAATTCATTGAAATCCAATTTCCATTTAAATCTCAAAGTCATTTTATGACCATTCCTACTATGGACGACTTTTTTGGTATCCCATCATCCCAGTCCGTTCCAAAGGCCCAACACCACACTTCCCCTTCATCACCCCATTCTACTCACCCGACCCAATCCATACTCATCCCACCATCAGGCCCACTCGAACCACCTATACCAACCCAACCTCGTTCTCCTATTTCACCAGTACCCTCCACTACATCCTCCCCTGACAACACTTCTAACTCTCCCACTTCTACCCATTCTCCAAACACAACCAAATCTCACACCACTTCCTCCCCCACCTCACCTTCATCGTCATCTCTCTCTACATCCTCGACCACTCCTCAATCAGATTCATTTGAATCTTTACCCTTACCTTCCCCGCTACCCCCGCGCACCTGCAAACCAAATTCCATGTATTATAACTCCACCTTTGTTAACCACACTACCCTACATCCGATTTCTTCAACACTTGAACCAACAACTCACAATCAAGCCTTAAAAGATCCCGAGTGGCGAAAGGCGATGAATAATGAGTTCAATGCCCTTCTACAAAATGCCACATGGGAACTTGTCCCTCCTTCATAACATAAACCTATCGGTTGCAAGTGGGTACTTCGCATCAAACGACGTCCCGACGGGTCTGTTGATAAATACAAGGCTCGTCTAGTTGCCAAAGGGTTCCTTCAAGAACATGGCAACGATTATTTTGAAACGTTCAGCCCGGTCGCTAAACCCGTAACTATCCGTACGGTTCTCGCCATTGCCTTATCTCAAAACTGGCCCATCCGGCAACTCGATGTTAACAATGCCTTCTTGCATGGCACCTTACATGAGGATGTTTACATGTCTCAACCACCCGGCTATGTCCATCCGAATTTTCCAAATCACCTTTGTCATCTTCGGAAGTCTCTCTACGGCCTCAAGCAAGCACTGTGTGCATGGTACATGGAACTTGCCACATTCCTCCTTTAACTCGGTTTTTGCAAGTCCTTGGCCGACCCATCTCTGTTCATCTACAACCGGGATGGCCTTATCTCCTATTTCTTGGTATATGTTGATGATATTGTCTTGACCGGCAACAACAATCCTTTTACTCAACGTATCATTCGTACGCTCTCCGAATTTTTTTCCATTAAAGATCTTGGCATGCTACAACACTTTCTTGGTATAGAAGTTATTAAAACCACTACTGGTTTATTTCTCTCCTAACATGCTCATGTGCAGAATTTACTAACCAAGTTCAAAATGGATGGAGCCAAACCCGTGGCCACACCAATTAGCTCTAAAGAGTCTCTCTCTCTCTCTTGTTGATGGTTCACCTACCACTGACCCTACACCGTATCGCCAACTGGTGGGCTCCCTCCAATACCTTGCTTTCACTTGACCTGATGTTTCTTACGCAGTCAACAAACTCTCTCAATACATGCATGCACCAACTCAACTCCATTGGCAAGCCTTAAAGCGGGTTCTTCTATACTTGAAAGGCACTATTCATCACGGTCTGTTTCTAAACCGTGGCTCTCCAATTGACCTTACCACGTTTACCGATTCTGATTGGGGTGGAATTGTCGACGGGGGGCGATCCACAACTGCCTATATTATCTACCTCGGTTCCAACATCATCTCGTGGCGTTCATCGCGTCAAAAATCGGTTTCTCGTTCTTCAACCGAGGAGGAGTACAAGGCACTAGCAAACGGTGCAGCTGAACTATCTTGGGTTCAACATCTACTATTAGAGTTGGGTCTATCGGCAACTAAACCTCCTACATTATTTTGTGACAATGCTAGTGCTACTTATCTGTGTGCCAACCCGGTTTATCATTCGCGTATGAAACACGTGGCACTTGATTATCACTTTGTTCGGGAAAAGGTGACTAATGGTTCATTACAGGTTCTACACATTCATTCTAATGATCAACTTGCTGATGTGTTCACTAAACCTCTAGGGTGGGGTCCTTTTAACCGCCTTCGGTCCAAGATTGGAGTCTCGGACGGATCCTCCATCTTGCGGGGGCATATTAAGGAAACTAATCGTTGATCATGTTAATTGTATTTCCTTTTTCTCCTTTAAGTTATATTTAGATAGTTATTATGATTGATATTATTTATCATAGAATTAGCCGTAGATCTCTCCTTACCATTGTATGTATATTGTAAATGACTATTTATAGTCTTTGTATTCTGTCTAATAATGCGTGAACTTTTCTATTCAAATCAAGCTCTTATACTACAATATGCATGTAATAGCCTATGTCAAATTTGTAGTATAGGATTCGGAAGAAGTTAACGAATACATCATACATACATACATACATATATATATATATATATATACATACATATATATATATATATACATACATATATATATATATATACATACATATATATATAGATATAGGCTTGGGATCATGTGATACCAATGGTTTTTCGTGAGACCCGTAAGACCAATTCTCAACTCTTACATTAGATTTACAATCGTCAGATCTGAACATTTATAAACGCCACGAGACTTCTCAATAATTACAAAATTGACACCTTGCAAATTTAGACCATTAGATCATTAGTTTATAAATTTGATCAATGAACATAAATTAGTCTTACAGGTCTCACGAAAAACCCTTGGTCTCACGTAAATCCAACCGTATAAATATATTCTAATTGCTACTTGAAGAAAACAAGAAAATGCAGTTTACTATATAAAATAACAAGGTTTGGAAGAATGGGATGGAAAATTTGAATTACATGGATACATGTGCACATGGTTAGAATTTTATTATTGATATAAAATTCAAAAAAAGAAGAAGAAGTAAAATATAGATATCATTCCTGGCGCTGCTGCTGGTGATACTCAAATTCCCACTCAATCAACTAGCTGCTGCCCCCAATAATGTCTTTGTATGTGCATTTAATTTTCTCTATCAAAGCTTCCCTGAAAAACCAGCATTAATCAATGTCAAGCATTAATTTTATTTTTGGGCAGATCTAATTTACATATATTGATCAAAACTGAAGGTGAAGTACCTATCAGGTTTGAAAACCAGGTTCTTGTATGCAAACCACTGTAGGAAACCATCACAAAAAAAAAAAAAGTATAATAGATGAGTTAGATAAGAGCATTCACTTTCTCAAGAAATCAAAAGAGCCAAAAAAGTTAAGCTTACGCCTGTGTAACCGATTCCAACGAGCTCAAGAACACCTGGAATTAGTGGAAGCCTGTCTATAGCCTGATCCAAGAAACAATCATTAACGTTAATTTGCTATTACTACTTATCAATTGAAGAAGATATATAAGAGGTTGTGCTCACCGAGATCATTCCTGTGGAACCCCAAAGTAGAACAACTCCGGCTACTGCAAGAGAACTCACAGCATACTTATCTTCCACTTTGTCCCACTATATATATATATATATATATGTATATAATATGAGAATATTTTGTTGGTAATTAAATTATATAGAGAAAGCAGAATTGGTATATAATTATGAGAAAGAATATATATATACCGCCTCTTGAATTGGCTTAATGAGCTCTGGAAGGTCAGTTGAGGCAACCTCGGGGGATGCCTCTCCAGTGGCCATGGCAGCAACATTCCGGGCTAACTTTCGACCTGATATATATAAACTGTAACTAGCTAAACTGTATATCCATCTTAATTAGCAAGGCCATATTAGTAAAGTGGTAGCAAGTAAACTAACAGTAGCCGGTGGCCTTCCAAGCACGGTTCTGCTGCTGAAGAGGTGGCGGTGGAAGAGACGGAAGGGTGACACATTGAGAGGATGTAGCGACAGCTGATTGTCGTAGAGGAGCCTTGCCGTCAATCAGGGTGGTGGTGGTGGAGTTGGTAGACATGGAATGTACAGTGGTTGCCATTTCTCAATCGGGCCTTACCCTCACCTGAAAGAAGCGATTTTTGATTTGCTATATATATGTTGTCGCTCTTTGTTTTTTAATTTGAGTCTCTTACCTAAGATAAAGAAAACAAACAAGTTAGGATATTTTCTTACTCAATACTCGTCATAAATTAAGCTTGGAGGAGATCCAATCCATTGAAACGTATGGAAGCTAAGCCATAACAAAGGACAGCCACACATTTTCGATCATCAAGATAGTGCTGACGTGTCTTTTTGGATAGGATAGCAGGTTTTTGATTGGGGGAGATAAGATATGATGCCACTTAAACGTACGGCCTTCTATATCCTTGCCCAATTAGCAGTGTCCTTCCTATATATTTCAAACAACCAATGATCCCGAATGGTCTAAAATAAACTAACCGAAATCCAAATGTTTACAACCCAATACAACAGTGTGTAAACAAAGATCCGTCAACAATAATCAACCACAAACAATGTACATGCATGCAAGAACTAACTCAAACTCACAAATATAGTAATGGCACACACATCAAAATATGACCACCGGGGAGAGATCCATGTTTTTGATTAAACAAGAGTGACAACATACTTGCAAGACATGATATATTATATATTTTCAAAAATACAAAAAATACACTATTCAAAGTTAAAACGTAATAAAACTCTAAAACTAGACGTCAAATATGAAAATGTCAAACATCATTAATCAAGTGCCTCCAACATTTCAATAAAATTTCCCCCGTTAATGGAATCTAACTTTTCATTGTGGTCTCTAAATTCAACCGCTTGAAAAGCTCATTGGCTCAAGTAATAGCATTTTAAGCCCAATTAAAGTATCAAACAAATTTAAACAATTTGAACCTAATCATTAATCAAACAATTTCAAACAATAACATCTTAAAACTTGAATAAAAATATAGAATGAAAATGCCCCTGTGATTTAGGGGTGTAATCGGAGGTCGAGATTCAACTCACTCGAGAGTGGTCAACACGGGGAGGGAGGATAGATCAACAAGTCTATAATTTCAATAATGGAGATTGGAGATTGTAATTTTGTTCATAAGTTGCTCGTATAAGTTTGTTGGCCGATATGGTCATGTGAGCATGTGACGATGAAGAATCAACAACTTTAGACTTTAGTGGACTATGGACTGTAGAAACTTTTATGAAATTACATATTCATCAAATTAAATAGACGGTTGAAATTGAGTTGTATTGGTTGTACAAATGTAAAAGGTTGCATAATAACTCACATCTACACATACATATATATACTTTTATTGAACCAAAAAGCTCAAAGGCCATGGCCCCTAGAGGCCTATATGGCCTTCTACCTCTAACCAAATCGGTAAGACCAAGCTCCTTGTTCGTCTTCTATCTAAAAGACACTACAACAAAAGGCACATATTAGGAGGCCCATTGGCGTCCTAAAAAACTATCTAATAGGACCATTCATTTTATAAGACCAAAAACATGGGCATACTAACTAAAGACGTTACAAAACGTTTTAAAGACAAAATTAAACGACCTAACAAATTATATGATTTTGAAACAAATTCAAGCGTCCTATAAAATGTTTTATTTAACACTAAAAACATCCTAATAGAATATAAAATAGGATCCTTATGAGTGTCCTAATAAGTGGTTATATAGCACAAAATTAAATGTCGCAAAAAGACTTGTATTAGTACCAAAATGTTTGTTGTAACAAGTTATATAATTATAAAACAAATTCAAGGGTCCTATAAAATATATTATTTAACACTAAAAAGCATCCTAAAAGAGTATACAATATAACATACTTGTATTAGCACCAAAATATGTTCTAATAAGTCTTATCCCTATCCAACATTTTGCTTACAAACCTATAAAGCGTTGCAATGGTGCATTTATATAATATTTTCTAGAAACAAAACAAATACGAGCCCTAAGAACTTGAGTACAACTCAATATATGCTTTATGTTCATGACTACAAAACAAAGTATCCAAGTACTAGAAATCTTGGTCAAATATCATTCAGTGTAATCCTTTAACATCATGTTTCATCCTTGGGCACCGTCTACACGTAAAAAATATATGTAAGTTTAAAGTTATATATATGTTAATAAGTTTTACAAAATTACCAGATAAACTAAGAGCAATCTGACAAAAGGCAGAGCAATCAAATTGATATTTAGTATGCCATAGCAATCCATCTTTTGACTAGTCTAACAGGTAAATCCTAGGACTCCCTCTAGCTTCTTAGGCCATAGCAATCCATCAAAAAGGTTTCTAATTCTATACACCCGGAAATTGATATTTAGAAAGTAAGTTTTAGATAGAAAGATACCTATAGAGGTTGAGGCTTGGTAGTTACTTTAGGGCGATTGTGTTAATGTCACATGAACATTTGAAGTATAAGAAGCATTTTGATTTGATCCTCGCATATCTAAGACCATAGCTCTTAGCTTGACCACTTCTTTGCTAACACTTTCTTAGCTCTTATGTGGGTTGCTCAGGTTTGCAAAAGTTGAGTACCCTGCATGAAACAAAACCTATACATAGAATCAAATTTGAATTCAACAATGTATTATTATTATTATTTAATAGGCATTCACGTACATAAACTTGGGGATAGAAAGTGTAACACTCTTAAATCTGGAAAGAGCGACCAATTTACAATTTTCATTAATATAACAAATAAGGGTAAATTCATTTTCTATAATCAATACTTGAATTACCTCGAATATCGAATCTAAAATCATCATTAACAAAAGATAGACAAAGCCTCACATAAAGACTAAATTAAGGTCAGATGTTACTATAACCCAATGATTGTCGTTATCTCCAAAGGCGCAAGACATCAACGATAAGCTAAAACCTTCTCGTGCAACTATCTAGCACCCATCTCATCACGATGTTGCTAGTACCATTTCCCACAGACTTGATGCACATGCCGGCAAATGAAAAAGGTTAGGCTTAACATCTAGTAAGTTCAAACAGTTTTCATCATAATCATAAGACGATAAAACTGAACGACCGCTGATTAAATTTAAATTTTGGAAAATATATTTATCGTAAAAGGAATATCTTTCCGAAAGCCCACCATTTTCTTGATGGAAACTCGTTAATGAAAATACCCAATTATACGCAACCAAAACTCAATACTCAACATGAGCAAGCAGGGCATAAAACAATCTGAAGATGACTGGGGTGACCCGATTTACCATTTGTTGTGACGAAATACATAAATAAGCCACAAACCAATGTTATAGAAGCTTACTCATTGATAAGCATACTATAACATCAACCAAATCCAGTCTATAGTTAAATAGATACACGATGACATCAACAAAATCCAGTATATAGTCCAATGAGATAATAAGCTCGTTCACTTGGAAATTACATAATAAATAAATGCTTATTTCCATGCTACAGTAAGGGATAGACTAAAAAATTACATAATAATCACAATGCCTATTTCTAATAAAACATCTTAAATTAAACTCGTTCACTTGGAAATTACTTAATAACACAATACCTATTTCCATGCTACAGTAAGGGATGAATTAGAAATTACATAAGAATCACAATGCCTATCTATACTATATTATAAATCATTTGACAAAAATTCTTAAAAATAATTTTTTATGCGTAAAATACTATTTATTGATGCATATTACTTAAAATTCAAGATTACAAGTACAATGTACGTGAGTACATCTTCTTAAAGCATCATGTTTGAATTTGTGCAACTAACAACAGATAAACATAATCAAATACATGATAAACATCATTTTTAAGATAATCATTGAGTTCTAATAGAATATTTAATTATTATCTAAAAAATTATTTTATTAAACCAAAAATAAATTAGTTCGTTATTGAACTTCAATTAAATTTTAATAAGAAATTGATTTAAAGAAATTACACAAAAACGAGAACTTTTAAATAGTTAATTTGATACTAATATTGATTAATTCTTTCAAATTTTTATAATATCTTCAAATTTATATTTTATTCAAAAATAAAAATATTTTCTTTTCTCAAAACCACGTAAAATCGTATTATAACATCGATAGAGCCAAAATATAAAATGAAATATTAAAACCAATATGTATCTCGCTGCATTGTGCGAGTGTCCTTCTAGTTTCCAATAAAACAAAAAGAATCTCAAATTAAACTCGTTGGAAATTACATAATAATCACAATGCTTATTTCCAAGTTATGATTTGAAAATCTCATCCATCACGTAATCCATAAAACCGACTCCTATGCCTATGAACCCATTGCATTACAGTCTAAAATTACACGACACTAATTGAATGATTAACGCACCCAAAACGTGTAATATATCAAATAATCATGCCATAACTGTATATAACTCCAAAAGCTTAATATATAACAAATTAAACCGAACAAATGTTTCCAGGACTCATTTAAGTCAAAACTGAGCCAAAAGCTTGTTAGAGAAAATAGGACCAGAAAAGGGTTGGTCGATCAAGAACCGGATTACTTGAGAATCGTGTAAGAGATCACTTTTTGAATTGATATTTCGACTCTATATCTGTGTTACACGAAATTCAATCTAGGATAACACTCAAGAGAGCACTTTCGCTTTTAGGTACAAAAACAAGAGCAAACTTGCTAGAGAGTATATTATGATTGTTCAAAAAACCCATCTCTAAAAACATAAGCATAAAAGGTATTTATGCTCATAAAAAATAACAGAAATGATAATCATGGCTCAATTTTAGGAGTAGTGGACATTTATAAAACTGCACATTAAATGTAGTGAACAGTTAAAAAAATGTTTTAACCGTTCCAAACATGAAGCCAGAGACAAGACGAACCAGAGCCCTTCCGGCCTTTAAGGACCAGAGACCCTCTGGTCTTACCAACCAAAAACAAGGCAGACCAGAGCCCCTCTGGACCTTAACAGCCAGAGGCAAGGAACCAGAGCCTTTGGTTCTTAATAACTAGACTCAAGGTCGTCCTTAACAACCAGAGACAAGGCCAACCAGAGTCCCTCTGGACGAGCAGAGACCCTATGGTCCTTATGATCAATTTTCTACTACAATGCAAGGGGTGCAGCCCCTTAACTCCCACCAAGGTCATACTCGTCTTATAACAAGCATGCACTCCGCACCTCCTGACTTGTATTAGAACACAAAATAAAACCCTCTTATAACTCGTTGTTACTTCCAATTACACTTAAATGGCCCGATGACACTAAAATCACCAACAAAGCTCAACAATTCCCTTAACTATGAAATATAAGTCATCAAAAGGGATGAAACGTACTTAACCAACGTTTATATAAATACATGCTCCAAGACGTGATTAACTCAAAAATCCATCATTGGTTGAGACAAACCATTTACCAATGAAAACATATTGTATTATTTTCAAAATGTCTCATAACGCGATAACATGCATTTTCCAAACAATTTATAAGACTAAATACACCGAGATGCATTAATATCAAATAAGTTCTACTTGTACAATAAATCATCAAAATGACACATTCTTGTGACTTATATGTCCAAAACCCCCAAGTATGGTCATTTCTCAAGATTTATAAACTTGATTATTAATATGCAAACCTCGTCAAATAATAACCACATTTGTTAAATATCAAGGAAAACATTTCGATACATCAAAATAGACATTTTTTTGACATGTACATAGTTTTCACAAATCAACTTGAATTCACTTGCTAGATTTAGGCTAAATCTAGGTTTTACCCAATCTTGAGCTTCCTTTGGTGAAGAGATGAAATCCTCAAACTACACCTCCAAATCTATGGTGCAAATCTCTCAACAAAACTTCCTTTTCTTCCAAAACATAAAAAAAATAACCTAGAGAGAATGAGAGTTGTTGGTGCAAAAGAACCAAACCTTAGATTCAAAGGACAAAGATGTGATCTTACCTTCAACTTCTATGAACTCCAAAATCATCAAGGAATCATTAATCATCATTGTTCTTGTCTTGAAGAGCTCAAAAAAGAATCTATAGGAAAACGAATCGCTTAAATCAGAGTAGAAATGAAGAAGTTATCTCTAAAATGATGAAAACCCCGATTTTCGATCTTTTTATCCAGGTCAGGCCTCCACGCTAGTTTCAGCGCTAGTTTAAACTAGCGTGGAAACTAGCCCGAGAATTTCAGCGTTTGGCACTAGTTTTACCACTAGTTTATACTAGCGAGCCCAAAAATTCCTAGCGCTAGTTTGAAGTGCGTTTAACTCACTTGACAGCTAGCTTGGCACTGTATTGTGTTTTTAAGCTGAACTACGGCCTTTCGAGTGATCGAACTTGCATCGGAGGTCTCTTAATGCCTTGGCTGACCTCCAACACAACTTTTCTTCATTCCAAATCTACCATGACTCCTGATTCAAAAGCCACAAACATTTGGTAATAAATAAAACATCGGTGTTACAAAAAAACATATCTTAAGAAGAAAGTAACTCTGAGTATAACCGAACAGGTTTTGGCGGAGATGAGAGAGCGAAATGTAAAAGTCTATGAGCAAGAAAGCCAATCTTAAAGCTTCCAATTTGTGTTTTGGTGTTGTGGGTTTAAAACCCTTGCATCAAAAATTTGTATATCTAGCTTCATGAGTTGTCTTTAAGAGATTTTTTAAATCTGTGCATGAAATAACAGTACCTTATAGCTTAATAATGTAGTATAGATATACTAGTTATGTACATGTTGCAATCCAACAGGGTGTAAACAGAGAATAAAAAGTTAATGCTACTTTTCCATCAATCAGTCATGAGTAGTCAATAACACAATAATCACAACTCGAAGACTACCAACATATTGACTATAAGCCCACAATCACTAACTTTATAAGAAAAAAGGCATCACCACTAATAACCTACAAGACATCCAACATAGAACATGATATACCAATTCTGAGACATGTTTAACCAGATGAAGGAAAGCATACAAATTTTAATTGTTCATTTTGACAAATCAACTTTGTAACCTAATGCAATAGGTAGTACAGGGAAGTGGCATCATGAGAAATGGGATGTGAGAAAGAAAAGCTCTTTAAAGATTTTATTTAACAAGCAAGTAGCAATGATGCTCTCTTCCGAAAATTACAACATTTAGCCATTTAATATGTTATTTAGATTAGATCATTATAGAAACGACAACTGTGGAGTCCAATTTTAGTCTCTAAAAAGCAATTCCTACTCCCTCGGCCCTCCAATCCTTATCGAAAGTCTCTTATCAAACTTGTATTTTATTGTTTATTAGGAACTGATAACAATGATTTTAGTTTAAAAAATTCATGTATTTTACATTTTTATGGAACTTTCTAACTTAGTCTAATGATTTTAGTCTAAACCCTAAACCCTAAACCCTAAAACTTAAACATAAACCAAGAAAGTTTGTCTGAATTAAAACCAAGCAACTAGTAATCATAAAGTCTGTTTGAGTCAAGACCAAGCAAAAGCAAACACCAAAAAACATATAACTTCTAACTTAACTTCTGGTGTATTAAAAAACAAATAAATTTAACTTAAAAATTAAACACAATAATAGTGGAATCAAAGAAATTTAACACAAGAATACACATGTACCGTCAATTACTAATGCTCATCACACAAATTCTTCATATCACATATAAGTGCTTCAATAAATCGAACCTACACCACTAAATGACTCTAACAAAACAAATGGAAAGACATAGCAAGCTTGGGTTAAAAGGTTCACCACTATTTTAGGTACGCAACAACATAACCAAAGCTATGTTCTCCCATCTAAGGATCTTCATAAAATACACCCCCGGCCTCAACACACATAACATTCTTCTAGAGTTCTATTCAAATAAAATTTATTACTATAAATGGGGAACCCAATTTAAATGTCATGAACTAAAAACGAAATCCAATTGCGGATAAAATCCAATTGCGGATAAAGTGATTATCTAGAAAGAAAAAAATTGGAAAAAGGGGACATAACCTCAAGAAAAACTTTATTAATAAAGAAACGCAAAAATTACAACTTATGAAGACATACCCCTCACCCTCAGAAACAAAATGCCATCCTAAAAAATGTTTCTAAATAACTATTAACATAGGCCAAACTTTATAACCACTAAGATAATTAACAACCCAAATGCCCATCTCTAGAAAACCCATTTAAGAACAATAAAAATAACTCTTTAAGAAAACCCAAGGCATGATTAATAACTCTTCGAAAAACTCCATAAATCTGCCTTTGAACTCCTCACACCAAAAAGATACCAGCCTTCCAAATGTATATGATAAACCAGTAGCTCCAACATATCCCACAGATACAAATAGTGAAGCTCCATATAATCGGTTCTTAAGAGCATAGACTCACATGACTCAATCAGGACCAAGCAGCTAATGGTAAGTCTTATAACTACAACCAACAAATCTACTTCGTCCAGAAGGAGGCCATAGACAAAAGATTAATCCAGACATCATGAAACCTGTAGTGACCATTGCATTGAGAGAGAGAAAAACAAGGACGTGTTGACAGAAACTCTACACCTGATCTGAAGCATTATAAAAGCCCATAGTATAGGAGCCATTATTGGTCTAAAGTCACAGGTTTGTGACCTCCAAATTTTTACAAATTAACTTCGAAAGATTAGCATTAAAACCATACATCCAAACCAAACCAATTGACAGCATCTTTTGCAAATCACAGTTGCCACCCAACCCCAACAGCAGCTGTAGAACCCCTTCCTTAAAACAGAAGAGCAGGATTAATCTAAAAATTGAACCAATGTTAAATCTTTCATTTGCTGAAACCAAATGGTTCAAACAATTCGTTTTATTTTAGTGTCATGTGATGAACAAGTGGTGAATCAGGGTAGGCGGAAGGTTGACTGATCTTGAAGTATAAAGCCATAAACAAGTTGAGGGTTGTGCCTCGATGCTTTCAGATGCTTCCGGTCCGTAGTATTCATCGAGGGTCGATCTCGCTAGTATGTCCAAGAAACTAATCAGACTGAAGATTGTATTATTGTCCCAACCAACTCCAAGATAATGTCTTCCATGTCCAAGAGAACAAGAACTTGAATCAACCTATAACAAAATAAAACCTATTAAATGATTTTTACCACTTAAATGCACTTACCCAATATAACCACCTCTATATACATTTTTCAAGTGGACTTGCAATAGTATTAAATCAATAGATCTAGCTTCAACATTCTATAAAAACCGAAAGCAACTTAAATGTGAAAGATTAAAAGTCTAAGAACCATAGCAAAAACAGCAGTACAAGAACCAAAAACACAATCACTAAACAGAATATATGATCTCATAACCGCAGATAAAGTTCAAATTAACAAATAAATCATGCAAAAAACCTGAATCGACTCCAAATTTTTAAAGCACGTGATTTCATTTGCTCGGAAACATATTTTCAGTCAACATTCCAACCATAAAAACCTTTTACCACTGTCATGCCTATGGTGTTAAGATCAGAAAACCATTTACCATGTCCAAGAGAATAAATATGAAGTTAAGACCAGAAAACATGAGCAACAGTGAAGAAGGTTACAGAAAATACAGAGGAACTATTCTATCCCAAACAGTGAAGCTCATGTTCTTGTATGCAGCTGAGAATTTTGGAATATCCTTCTAACAACTAGTGTGCTTTTTGCCATAATATTTTTTTATTTAATTTGCAAGGAATATCCTTCCAAGGACTAAACAAATACAATGAAAATTGACAAGCAATCACTACATTTGCCTCAGTTAAATTCAACGCAAGAAACTGAACATTTTTCTACATATTGAAGAGTTGAAGTTTAATACTACACGCAACCTCAACACTGTATTTTAAAGATTTACGGGCCGTTTACTAAATCCTTACTGGATAAGCCCTTACTAATATCACTTAAACCAATTGAGCATGACATGGACCAAGAATCTTACGCGGTAAGTGAGGAAAAAGATTCTTACCTGGCAAGTGCTTACCGAGTTTAAGATGCTAACCAGAAATCCAGTTTGATGGCCGAGAATGTTCCATGATAAGGTAAGTGAGGGTAATTTCTCTTGTCCATAAGCATTTGGTAATTGCCCCCTTCCCTTAGTTTATTAGAACACATTTTTATTGTTAAAAGAAATCTAAGAGGAAAGTGTTTTGAGCCACTATGATATGGGTTTGTCTTACTATTGAGAACCTAGAGAACTTGCAAGAAAAAGAAAGATATACGTGCAGCAAGCATATTGGAATCACGAACTTAAATTAGCATAAATTACTATGCTAATAACATCGCTACTCATAAGCATTTGCTCTCAAAGCTACCTGATTCATCATGAAACAAAACGCCAAAAGAAAGCAACCAACTTAATTATTTCAGAGACTTGCAGCCATATCCAGAGACCAAGAAAGTATCGTCTTACCCTTGCTCTGCACCATTTGCAAGCTCCCTTTCCTCCTCCGCAAATGTATTGCTTTTCCCAAGTAACACGTTGATCTAAATAACAAAAAAAAAAGCAGATGGATATTATAATTTCACACACCAAGATTTATTGAAAACAACTAATAAGCAATAATTGTGGCTATTTTTTGAAAATCTAGCAAAGCTCGTCCCCTACCATTTATAGCTTCTATAACTTTCTTCTTCTCCACAAAGTAAAAAAACTACATATAATATTTCCTGCAATGATCCCATAAGATCCAATGGCTTTAAAATTTATCAATCATGTATTTTATGTCAAGTTCAATACAAGTCCTCAATAAGAATCATAAACTTCCTTACTCTTTTAAACGATAAAATCCATTCTTGAGAATTTCTGCAATTGTGACAGCTGTGGAAAGAGGTGTAGGAATAACCAAAACTGAAGAGAGTCATCTATAAGACATTAGTAGCATGATCATCTAGTTGAAATAATTCCTGTATCCTGTGTTCTCCAACAACTGCTTAAGAGGAATCTTGTATGATCATTAAGACAGGCATCTAAATCATATCCACAAGACTCCATCTTCTTTATAAGCTCAAAAGCATGCTCTTTTTCGTATTGGGAATGAACAAGGGACTTGAGCAAATTGTTGCAAATTCGTGGTTTCAAGATGAAACCTTTCTTCAGAGAATATAGAAAAACTTCAATAGCCAAGTTCAATTTTTTTTGTTTACAAAGAGTGGCGATCAATATCACACAACTTGGGGGGGTGACATTTATATTGTATTCTTTGAGAATATCAAACAACTTTAAAGCTTCCACTGTGTTGTGCGCCTGACACAATCCGATAAGCCATATTGTATAAGGTGCTGAATCAAAATCTCCCAACTTAATATCCATATCAAGTAATAACCGAACAGGCCTCTCCACTTCTCCTTTCTGCAGTTGCTCTTCAACCAATTTCATCGTCTTTTCTTCTCGTTTGAGCGTGCTACTTAAGAACTTCAACCAGAGACTGAAAGCTGCAAAGGTTTTCTTTCTTCGGCAAGACCATTTCATGAGGGACCTATAAATTGCTGCAGTAGGTGTGCACCCATTCTTCACCATTTCTTCTAACAGCATGAAAGCATCATTCTCTCGGCCAATGCTTTGGAGACCATCAATGAGTGTTCCATATGTAACTGAATCAGGGGATTTTCCCTTTAGTTGAAGTTCCTTTAAGAGCTTTAAAGCACCATTGATTTTCCCTGATTTGCAGAGGCCATTAATCAAGATATTGTAAGTCGTGATATTTGGTAGGATTGTCGTATCAGCAAGTTGTGTGAGAAGCTTGTATGCTTTAAGTGTTAACCCTGACTCGCACAACTTTGTCACTAATGTCTGAAGGCTTCCACTGTCAACAACCCTATCTGAACCTTGAGTAAGTCGAAGAAATAATGAAGGATTTCTTCCAATCTCCATCCTGTAGAACAAATAATGAGCTTTCTGAAGCTCCCCAGACTTACAAAGCCCATCCATAAGAGCATTGAAGGTAACAACTGAGGGAATACATCCAAGCTTCTCCATCTCATCAAATATGTTTTGTGCCTCCCCCACCAGACCATGTTTGCACATGCCAGATATAAGAATAGTATAAGTACAAGAGTCTGCAAATTGATTAACCTCTGAAATTTCCAGTTTGAGGGAGCGAGCTTCGTCCAAGAGGCCCTTATCACAGAACCCTTTGATAAGGGTATTATACGCTCGAGTATCTGGTACCAATCCTCTACTGCTCATATTCCTCAAAAACTCAAATGCATCCTGCACTCTGCCAGCATCACATAACCCTCGAATCATGATTGTGTACAAGATGACATCAGGTGTGATGCCTGCCTCCATCATTTTCTGAAACATATCATGGGCTTCTTTGAACATCCTAGCCCTAAACAACCCATCAATCAAACAACTATAACCATTTAAATCAAGATCGTAACCATCCTTGTTAAAAGCTTTTAAAAGAACAAAAGCTTCCTCCATCCTACCCAACTTACAAACCCCATTAACCAAAGTATTGTATGTAATAAAATCAGGCTTACAATGACTACTTCTCATGTTATTAAACAATCTATAAGCATCATCCATCCTCTTTGCTTGACATAACCCCGAAAGCACGATAGTATAAGTGACCTTACTAGGCATAATACCTTTCTGCATCATTTCATCAAACAGTTCAAGTGCATCAGAGGTCTTCTCACTTTTACATAACCCATTGATCAGAATACTATAAGTTGAACAATTCAGATGAGAATTCAACTTCAACATCATATTATACACAGCCAAAGCTAACAAAACCATACCTCTATTTATCAATATATGAAGAATCAAATTGTAAGTAAATAAATTGGGCTCACAATCAAAATCTTTCATTTTACCAAATGACTCTACTGCTTTTTCAGCATTATTCATCTTCCAGTACCCATCAATCAAAACCGTGAAAGCATCAGAAGGTATCCGAATCCCACAGCTCTTAATCTCTTCAAGAACCTTCCAATAAGCATCAAACATATCCAAAGTACTTGAAACGAGCATGTCAATCAACAAATTATGAGATTCCCAGCTGCGAAATTGCTTTCGTTTCGCAGCCCACACGTAAAACCGGAAACAAAGACTTGGGTTTTGTTGTTCTTGTAGCACCGAGGTGATGATGCCAGGTGAGAGAAATGGGACAACTTGTTCGAGCGCAGTTTCCATAGGCTCCAATGAATTGACGATGTTTAGGACTTCACTGGAGATTGCAGCTCCACGAGACGATGAGGGTGATGATGATGAGAAACAATGGCATCTCGATTTGTAAATTAGGGATGAGAACTTCTTCATGGATTAACAACGTGTGTCTAGGGCCGGTCCTGGGTTTCTGATGCCCTGGGCGAAAAGGTTAAAAAAACACCCCATCAACGATTATTTAAGAAAAATAAACATACAGGGTTTGGAATCTAGTAAAGCTGTACCGCTCATCCTCAAGCCAATTTTTATTAATTTTAATAAAATGATACAAAAAGGGAAATAAACCAATCACAACCGAATTTAGATCCTTGCTTCAAATCTGGAACATGAAACACAAGCAGAAATAAGCTTCAATAAACAAGTAAAACTTTATTTCAATCAAAATCCCAAACATATTTCAATTCAAATAGGAATGGCAACGGGCCGGGTTTTGGTGTTCCCATCCCTGAAACATAGATTTCTATCCTTAACCAGTTCCCCAACGTGGGGAAAACCACGAAGACCCGAATCAAATTTCTCAAACATAAATCGAAGCAATAGCAACTTAGGAATAATTCATGGCAAAATTATGATTAAATGGCAGAATTGTTGCAAATTAACAAGTAACAGAAAGACACCTCAATAAATGCTATACTTCCCTAAGGTAGCGTTTGGTACGCAGACTAGATGGGATGGGATGGGATGGGATGGGATGGGATGGGATGGGACGGGACTGGACACTACTGGACTAAATTGTCTATCCTACGTTTGGTATGACTAGAACAAGACTGGACAGAACAGGACAAAACTGTTAAAATGACCAGAATACCCCTGAACGTTGTTTAATGCTATTTTATATCATATAATGCCCCTGCCCCTGAAACAATGGGTTTGGAATTCTTACAAATACTAAAATTTAGCCATAGAGTAGAAAATTAACTGTCAGAACCCTAATCATTTAGATAGTGGAACTGCAAATATTGGAAGTGATTGTGGAATCGATAACCATGGAAGTGAAGATGGAGGAGAAATCGATTGTGGAATCGATAACCATGGAAAAGGAGAAGCAAAACAGAGACTCCTCCTTTTGCTGGTTCAAATTGTGGAATCGATAATCATGGAAGTGAAGATGGAGGAGAAATCGATAACCATGGAAGATTGAGGAGAAATTGTACCTGAAATGGAGGCTGGAAATCACCGGACTGCTAGAAATTGATGGCCACAAAGATCAAGACTTACGGACTTGAGTGAATTTCAAAATAAAACCTATAAAGATAGCTAACATCAAAAAGTATAAAATAAGAACACTCCTAGAAAGACAAACAATCTTATCAAGAAAAATGTAAGTGACAACCCCGAAAAGGCAGGCAATGTCAAACAGAATCAAACGCTTAGCATTCAATTACCTTCTTTTGCTGAGGGTTTTGGCATGAACCGTTAACGTTAAACTTGTGAAAATTCAATTGCTCTTATCCTTTCTCCCTCATACATCAACATATGGAACTTACGAACCACATATTAGATCATTACAACAATGCGAATGCTCCTGTTTGCTCCATTTGATAGAATGAAGTTGTGGACAACAGAAAACAAAAATGGACAACACTTGGGGTTTTTCAGAGCAAAAAAGATCCACAAATCGAGATAGAAAAATAGATAAAAAGAAAAACCCGGATAGAGATAGACGAAGATAGAAACCGATACAGAAATTCATTGATCGAGAAACCCTACCTGAAGATTGAGATCAGTGTGAGAGAGATCAATTCTTTCCCTTCCTTTCGAGTCGCTGCAGTATTTGATGAAAATAGGGCTAAATGGTTTCCCATGTTTGAAAAGGGTGTTTGGATAGCTCATAAAACAATTTATTGACTTATTCCGACGTGGTGCCGGTAATAAACACTTTTGAGTATTTGGATAAACAACTTATACCGGTGCCAAACCGGTAATAAGAAGTTTTTGAAGAAGTTAAACTCTTCTAACTTATAATAAGTTGATAAGTATTTTTGTAGAAAAGCATAAGTTGTTTCAAATAAGCAAATCCCAAACACCCCCATACTCTTTCCTACAAAAGTCCTTATCAACTTATTATAAGTTAGAATGGTTTAACTTCCTAAAAAACTTCTTATTACTGGTTTGGCACCGGTATAAGCTATTTATCCAAACACTCAAAAGTGCTTATTGCCGGTGTCACACCAAAATAAGTTAACAAGTTGTTTTTATAAGCAATCCCAAACACCCCCTAAATATCACTAATCAAAATGATAGTAAAGTAAACTACAAAAATAGTCCCACGACCATATGCATTATATATACTTTTGGTTCTAAAAAAGAGTATATTTTTTCTAACACCATTAATTGTGATGTTTTTAGTATTATAACGTATAAATCATCAACTTACTTAGTTTTTCGGTTAACTAGTATCATGTATCTCAAAAAAATATGAAAACTGATACTAATAAGGAAAAGAGAAAGTTTGGTTGAGTTTTAGACAATATTGCATGTTTTCAATTATCTACTTCATCCGACTAGTTCCGGGTTCGAATCCCGGTAAATATTTCTCAGAACATGGAGTGTGAATCAAACCCTTCAGATGTTTTCGGTTATTTTGGTTATTTGAGATGTTTTTAGTTCTAAATGTCATATGATATGTAAGTTGATTTCACTGCTATTTCTTGATGGCATTATGGCATTCGGATTATTTTGACAATTGTAAGTAAAGTTTGTAGCATTGTCTCTATGAAAAAAAATAAGGGTGCTACATGTACTCATTACAACTAATTTGGAAGCAGGGCCGGCCCTGAGATTTTTGGTGCCCATGGCTAAAAGTCCAAATGATGCCCAATTAAAAACATCCAAGTGCGGTAATTTACAATTGTCTAGCTTTTTCCTTCATAGACCGAGAGACACATTAGTGTTTTTTAGTCACTTAAGGTATTTGCCTATGAAATGCTATTGCATGACTCTGTTAGTCCATCATGTGTTTCATATAATAATATTTAGGGTCTTGACCAATGACAATCATGAGTTTCATATGTAAAATTGCAAAGTTAAGGGAGACCAGTCAAGTGAATTAGCTACTGCACATTCAAGTGAGGGCAAATCATCACTTAACTATTGCACATTTATAGGTTTGTTCAACTATATTATAGCTACTGAAATTGTGTTAATATACATCAAAAACTAATGGGATTAGAACAAAAAGCGGTGGATGATAACTTGAATATTAATCACAWAATGAAGAACTAAAACTCCAGAGATAGGCTTGATTGATTCGATGAACAACTAGATCAATTAATAACAATAGTATTCATTTAACTTTAAACAAACATACAAAGTATAGAACTTATGCCATGAACAGCAAAACTTCAGTTGAAACCCATGAACAAAAAAACTTACTTGTGCAGTTGAAGAGTCAATCTAAGAGAAATCAACTATGCAAGCTTCTGATAGTTTCTGCAGCAAATTACTTTCCTCTACCTCTTTTCCCGTACCTAGGCTGGGATTAAAGAAATATGGAATATCAATCTTACTACCAGGGTATAGATAAGTTTGATGACATACACAACAACTTACCATGAAATGCATAATGAACCTATCCTCTACCACAAGATAGCAAGATGCATCCACACCCATTCTATTTGCAGCTTCCAGAAATCTGATATTCAAGTGGTTTGATCATTGTCACCCATTTTAGTTACAATCTCAATTACCAAAAGTAATTTAGGCAAATAATGGCGTGAAAACAAGTTAGGAAGGAAGAAGGCAGAAACTACAAGCACATACTCTTTTGAGAATTATGTAGAGGCACAACCATTAAGATGTACAAGGAATCATATATGAAGCGCTTACAAGTCTGGAGAGGGCTTCCCTGATTTAACTTCGTCACTTCCAAGAATTACTGAAAAGTACTCTTTCCGACCTAGTGTAAAAAAATGAAACTGAATTTGGTAAAAAAAGAAAAAAGAAACCTAAGTACATGCCAGAAACAACTCTTTACTTTACCCCAGTGCACTAAGAGAAATGATGCAAAAAGAACACGCGCAAAACAAGTAGAATCAGTTACTATAACCCCTCTTTGTGCAAGGTGCAACTAACAGATACATCATCAAGAAAGAAGTTCCATAAAAAATTGAAACAGTTATATTTGACAATGAAACTTCTATAATAATAAYATATAATAATAGAACAAATGTACAAATTCTTTTCCTAAAAGACATTAATATAATCAAGAACAGTCTTTTATGTTTTTCAGAAACTGCTATGCACCTAAAGGAATAACTATGCAGAACTTGCAAGAAGGTAAGCTTGGATTGAAAAATAAATAAAAGAATTCACCATATTTCAGCCTATGCAATTTTGCTGTCAATTTAGAGGGGACTAAGCTGCTGTAAATCCAGCCTTAGTACCAATCTTACATACTTCACATAGTCTGTAGACAGTAGAAGGAACATGATAATATGATGTTTTCTAGATGGAAATAGGTGAAAAGAAAAGTAGATAAAAGAAATGCATCGCCATTAACAAATGGTAGATTGGTAGCAAAAGGCATGGATTTCAATTAGGATTTAGGCATATATGATACATTATTATACATACCAATTTCACAGCTTCATACTTAGGTTTTGCAATCAAACAAGAATTAAAAACATAAGAAATGAAATTAGTAAAGTAAATAGCCCTAACCTCACAAGCCACAAGATGCGAGAGCGAGAGCGAGAGGCCGAGAGACGCAAGCAGGCAGCCGGCCAGCCGCAGACGAGAGAGCCAGAGAGGGCAGCCGCAGACCGACGGCAGTCGGAGTCAATAGTCGAGAGTAGGCAGAGAGCGAGAGCGAGACTGCGAGAGGCGAGAGAGGCGAGAGAGTATGCCGTATGCGATTGCCGATTACGATTGACTTTGAGAGTGAGCGACAGTCGACGGATATCAACGTTTACCCGTTAATAATCGGTAAAAAAAAAAAGTCTGTCTTTGTTTTAAAACCTCTGAATGATTTTGTATATTGAGTTTTTCTTAATCATTAAGTGTCTTGATTTTATCGTAGACAATTATCAAACAATTATATTTTATTTTACATTATATCATAAAAGCTTCTTAATCATTCTGACCACTTAATCATTCTGCAACAAACCATTTAGCAACTGCCAAACAACCCCTTGGAGTAATTTATGTTTTTAGTCCCTATGGTCTGTTGAAAATTTTTGTTTTCGTTCTTATGGTTTTGAAATTACGATTTTCATCTTTATGGTTTATAATTCATTACATTTTTCATCCTTATGATTTAAAATTTATTACTTTTTTCGTACCTATGGTTTACAGTTCATTTTCTATTTTAGTTTTTCATACTTAAAAGTGTTGTTTTTTGGCCTTAGGGATGAAAATAGAAATGAGCTATACACCATAGAGACAGAAATCAAAATTCAGAACCATAGGGATGAAATCCACAGTTTTTAACAAACCACAGGACAAAAAACATAATTTACTCTAACATTTATAAGTATGAAAAAATTTAGAGTAAATTACACTTTTGGTTTTCGTGGTTGCCACCCACTAGCAACTCTCTTTCCTCTTTTGAACTAATTACAATTTTAGTCATTATGGTTCCAATTTTTTTCACTTCTAGTCTCTCAAGCTAACTTCTGTTAAATATGTATGTTAACTTAGAGGGTATTTTAGTTTGTTAGTCATTACTTAAATTTTCAATTAAAAAAAAGTTGAAATATATATTATTATATTACTAGTATTGTTATTATAGTACATTAATATATACACACAATATCGGATCTACCATTGAACACCTCATCGGTCAACTAGTCCCCTGCAATTGGCATTGGTCTCCTTGAAAGATGGAGATGATAACAAAGATGGAGGTGGGGGGATTCACCATTGCAGGCGATGGTGATGAGGGTGGTCTCCGACAAAAAAGACGATGATGAGAGAGGCGAACGAGAAGTCTCCCCTTCGCTGGTGAATAAACCGTTCCCAGCGACCAACCCCTTTAAACTCCAACAATCATGTGAACCTTTTAAACTCTACACGAAGAAGACCGTCCCCCTCTGCTGCAACAATGACTAACAAGGTGAAAGAAAGTCGCCCCTTCCCCCTTAGTCAGTGATTTTAGTTTGGGTTTTTTTGATTTACAAAGTCGACCAACGAGTTCATTTTCCATTTGTATTTTGGTTTCGATTTGAGTTGGTGATAGGTGTTAATTTATTAATCATATTGCATTGTTTTTCTTACGCTTTGCTTTTACTTTATTGGCCTAATTTCATCTTTTGAGTCCTTTTTAGTATGTCTTTTAGTATTTTTTTTTATCTTTTATATAGTTTGTAATGATTTAATAGCGTCTTATCATAATTTAGTACTAATTTGAGTTTTATTTGGAGTATATGAAGCATATAGAATGTTTCCTTATTTTTGTCATTGCTTATAGAGTTCTGTTGACTATTCATGTAACTGTTGCCTCTGCATAAAGAAGTTTCTCAAAGTTGAAGTTGTTGAACCTTTTTGCGCTCTACAATGACACAAGATAGACTTAATGGACTTGTCTTGACCGTGATTGAAAATGACTTTTTGGATAAAGTTGATTATGAAAAACTCATTGAAGACTTTGATACGAAGAATGTTAAAAGAATGATTTTATTTAAGTGAATTTCACATGTTACTTTGTCATTTTAAGCATTTTTGTTGTTTTACATTCTAAGACTTTTAACATGATGTAAACTTTTATATTTTGTCTTGTTTATTACTTGTTTTAAATGAACTAAAATAGTAGTTAGTGGTAACAAGTGTAACAGGGCCTCCAAAAAGATTAGGATTGCCCTGGCTGGAATCGAGTTCGAGCTTGTGGAATGGAGGGTTTCGAGTTCTACAATGGATACTGGAATGTGTAAGCTGGAAGAAGAAGAAAGAGGATGCGATGGAATTAGGTTTTGTATCTGATATCAAATAATAAGGGTAATATTGTAATCTCAAGTTTAGTCTCATGTTGTCTCATCTCATTTTTGTCCCATGGCACACAAAACATGGGACTATTTATTTTTGTCCCGTCCTATACTACCCAATACGTGTACCAAACGCACCCTAATAGATCAAGGTTGCAAGTTATTCACTTAGGGTTAGGGAAGTATCATAAATCATAAGCAAATTGTAAGACACAAAAAACAATTGGTTTCCATACAAAGCTTGTGCAATACAACTTTTGAAGACTCTTTATAATTGCATTTACACTTATCGAGACCATGAGCAACAGAGGAGAGACCAAGAGCTGGACAAAGGAGAGAGCGACGAACGAGGAGTCGAGGACTTGGAGAGTGAGGAGAGACCGAGTGAGCTGTGAGCATCTAAGTGACCAGGTCCAGTCGTCCATGTCCTCCAGAAGCTATCGCCTACTCGCCTGTTGAGTTGAGAGCTGATCGATTGAGGATTAGTCCTTCGGGCAAGAGTTTACTGTTGAGAGACGAGAGTTCAGAGCTAAAAATGAAATTGTTTCATGTATTTTTCATTATTTGATGAAATTTATATCAAATATTCTTGATTAAAATCATCCCTCATATATTATTGATGAAATTGTTTCATATATTATTGACTAATGAACTATCATAATTGATAAAAACTGGAAAAAAAATAATTAAAAAAATGATTGATTAAATGAATTTTGTACGGTTTGTTAGATTTATATGGTTTGTAAAATAAACCACCCCTATATATCCTCACTTTTGGGTTAAGTTTTAATTAAAATTTATTTGCGCTAAGTTTTAATGTTGTATAGTTAAAAGCACAAACCCATTGCATAATTCCTAAAACTAGAAATCAATTAATTCTCACTTTTGTTAGGGATGATTGATTGAACGAAGTTTGTTCGTTTAGTTAGATTTATATGGTTTGTAAAATAAACCACCCCTATATATATCCTCACTTTTGGGTTTGGAAGATGAAGAAAGAGGATGCGATGGAATTAGGTTTTGTATCTGATATCAAATAATAAGGGTAATATTGTAATCTCAAGTTTAGTCCCATGTTGTCCCATCTCATTTTATCATATGACACACCAAATATGGGACTATTTATTTTTGTCATGTCACATCCCACCCAATATGCGTATTCGAATCTCACAGCTATTAATCTCTTCAAGAACCTTCCAATCAGCATCAAACATATCCAAAGTACTTGAAACGAGCATGCCAATCAACAAATTATAAGATTCCCAGCTGCGAAATTGCTTTCGTTTCGCAGTCCACACGTAAAACCAGAAACAAAGACTTGGGTTCTGTTGTTCTTGTAGCATCGAGGTGATGATGCCAAGAGAGAAAAATGGGACAACTTGTTCAAGCGCAGTTTCCATAGGCTCCAATGAATTGACGATGTTTAGGACTTCACTGGAGATTATGGCTCCACGAGACGATGAGGGTGATGATGATGAGAAATAGTGGCATCTCGATTTGTAAATCAGGGATGAGAACTTCTTCATGGATTAACAACGTGTGTCTAGGGTCGGTCCTGGGTTTCAGATGCCCTGAGAGAAAAGGTTAAAAAAAGCACCTCATCATCGATTATTTAAGAAAAATAAACATACGTTTGGAATCTAGTAAAGCTGCACCGCTCATCCTCAAGCCAATTTTTATTAATTTTAATAAAATGATACAAAAAGGGGAAATAAACCCATCACAATTGAATTCAGATCCTTGCTTCAAATCTGGAACATGAAACACAAACAAAAATAAACTTCAATAAACAAGTAAAACTATATTTCAATCGAAATCCCAAACATATTTCAATTCAAATAGGAATGGCAACAGGCAGGGTACGGGCCAGGTTTTGGTGTTCCCCTCCCTGAAACGTAGATTTCTATCCTTAACTGGTTCCCCAACGTGGGGAAAACCGCGAAGACCCGAATCAAATTTCTCAAACATAAATCGAAGCAATAGCAACTTAGGAATAAATCATGACAAAATTATGATTAAATGGCAGAATTGTTACAAATTAACAAGTAACAAAAAGACACCTCAACAGATGTTATACTTCCCTAAGGTAGCGTTTGGTACGCAGACTGGATGGGATGGGAGAGGACTCGACACGACTGGACTAAATTGTCTGTCCTACGTTTGGTACGACTAGGACTCGACAGGACAAAACTATTAAAATAACCAGAATGCCCCTAAACGTTGTTTAATGCTATTTTATATCATATATTGCCCCTGCCCCTGAAACAATGGGTTTGGCATTCTTACAAGCATAAGAAGGTATCCGAATCCCACAACTTTTAATCTCTTCAAGAACCTTCCAATAAGCATCAAACATATCCAAAGTACTTGAAACGAGCATGTCAATCAACAAATTATGAGATTTCCAGCTGCGAAATTGCTTTCGTTTCACTGCCCACACATAAAACCGGAAACAAAGACTTGGGTTCTGTTGTTCTTGGAGCACTGAGGTGATGATGCCAGGAGAGAGAAATGGACTACTTGTTCGAGCGCAATTTCCATAGGCTCCAATGAATTGACGATGTTTAGGACTTCACTGGAGATTGCGGCTCTGCGAGACGATGAGGGCAATGATGATGAGAAATAGTGGCATATTGATTTGTAAATTAGGGAAGAGAACTTCATGGATTAACAAAGTGTGTCCAGGGCTGGTCCTGGGTTTCTGATGCCCTGGGCGAAAAGGTTAAAAAACACCCCATCACCGATTATTTAAGAAAAATAAGCATACAGGATTTGGAATCTAGTAAAGGTATATCGCTTATCCTCAAGCCAATTTTAAAATAAAATGATGCAAAAAGTGGAAATAAACCAATCACAACCGAATTTAGATCCT